TAATTACTTTTGTGGAATGGATACATAAATGCAGGACATTCCCAACCAAAAAAATCAAAAAACAAATGCCTAACACTAACCATCCAAAAGCACAAGTCTTCTCAAAAGTGGATTGGACCTATTGAAAAATCATCATTAAACAACAAAGAGTGAGCACCAGCACTGCATATTCCCGCTTCATATATATGACATGGGCCGGCCCTGCCGTCCCGGTCAAAGACTTGCACTTTGTTCTTTTGCTCAAGCCGGCTTTTGTCTCGTATTTAGTGCTTTTCTGTATCTGTTGTCCTAATACTGCTTCCTTGCTTGCACAGACATGGTAGATAATAGGCAATTATTAGAAGGCAATGGTAGATAATTGGCAACTATTAGGAGACAAATGATTACAATTGTTCATGCTAAACCAGCTGAGCTAGTTCAATTGGCCATTAGACGAGGGATTAGAGGGATTAAATCCCTCTGACTGTGTTTCCTCTCTAAAATTTATCGAAGTATGATTGAAGATTATTTAATTTTCTTTGTGCTTCTCAATAGATTCAATAGGTCCATCCCTCTCTATTTTCTCCTAGTATATGACTAACTATAACAATGCTGCTAAAAAAATGTTTACACTACAAGTACTATTTGAATGGAGTGTTTTGTATCACATTTTTCAATCAATTTTTATTTTTTGTGCTTATTTATTCACAAAAATTGGTACTGTAATATTTGTCTGTATAAAACATCCCAAAAAAACAACCATTGAGACAGAGCAGCACCTCGATTCCCAAATTAAGAATTGAACAATTGGTTTGATGCTATCGCACTTGTGAGTGTAGTGTATCAAATTATTGCAAAAAAAATAAAATTGAGGAATATACTAGGATAAGATGTTGACAAATCTCTTAAATCCACAAGCATACCAGTTATTATTACTCAAAATTCAAAATTCAAAATTCAAAGTTGTACTAATTACAGATGGCAGAATGATACATTTGTTGAATCATAGAATAAGTATCGTCCAATTTTGCATCATGGCCTCTCTAGTTGAGTTTCGTCCAATTCAATTTGATTGATGTAACTTTTAAAATATATAATACAATCATAAAATTTGTCTAACTCATACAACTAAATAATGTAAAATTCATAATTATGCTAGAGTTATACAAGTTTACATCAAATGTCTTTAGGATTATAACAATCAATGGACAAAATTCATCTGGAGAGGCCCGCTTTACTTCTTTTTATCCTGTCGAATACATGTATATATATTCAGTGCATCATTAACTATTCTTCGATTGAGTAGTTTTCAAACAAACATTTTTTTTTTCCTTCTCCTCATTCTTTCTCTTGGAGTGGGAGGAACAATTTTCTTTTTCATGCACACAGAATTTTGAAGTTTTGAGGATTGCAAGAAACCTCAATGGAAGTAACAAACAGATACGTAGTGATTAAACATATTATTGATGGAGCACCACAGGAGTCAGACTTTGAGCTTAGAACTGAACCTCTTACTTTATCAATTGAGCCCGGAAAAGATGAAGTCATCGTCAAAAATCTCTTCTTATCGATTGATCCATACCAATTGAACCGCATGACGAGCCAAAGTTGCTTTCAGCAAGCAACCAACATTGCAGGTGCCCTCAACCCTGGCGAGGTATGTTGCAAATTACAAACTACTTTTGTTGATTGATGACAATGCAATGAAGATTTATTCAGAGATGTATGCAGAGTAATGCTCACAAGAATCAATTAATTGTTGTTAACAGGAAATTGATGGTTATGGTGTGGGGAGAGTTGTCGCTTCTGGCAATCCTGAATTTAAAGAGGGGGACTTGGTTTCCGGGTTCCTGAGCTGGGCAGAGTACAGCATCATAAAAGAGGGTACCAGCAAATTTAAAGGAGCTAAGTTAAATAAGGTGGAGACCATGGGATTTCCACTTTCTTACCATGCAGGATTTCTAGGTAAGTTCATATCATACTTCCATTGTTATCAACATGTTATAATGCTGCATTTTGGGCCTGATTAAGATTGTCTTTCCAGGGTAGGATCAGGATATTTGAATAGATTAACTACTCTTTCAATTTTTTTTGTGCAGGATTCAGTGGGATAACAGCTTTTGCTGGACTTTTTGAAGTGTGTAAACCCCAGAAAGGGGAAACAGTGTTTGTTTCTGCTGCCTCAGGATCTGTGGGAAGTTTAGTTGGGCAGTATGCCAAGCTCTTTGGGTGCTATGTGGTAGGCTGTGCTGGTAGCCAAAAAAAGGTCAGCCTTCCATTTCCAAATGGACACATTATTTACTTCCAGTGCTGATTTTTGTGTTTCCCTTTTTTGTTGGTGAGGTTTGTTTCAATTTATTATGTCAAGAGGGTTTGGTTTAGTGATAATAGGAAATACTTGGTAAGCATTAGAGCAAAATATTTGAGATCAAACCTGTACTTAGGAATGACCTATGACCTAGATAAAGGGCTGGATGACTTCATGATATCTTTTTTTTTTATTTCCTTTCCTTTTGTCATTAATTTCTCTATTCTGTTAATTCTGCTAACAATAATGTTTTCAACTAGACTTAAGAAGGATACATTTGAGAGTTTAGGTGCAAAGTGAGAATCATATACAAGTTTGGGGCCACAAAGTGAAATTATTTCATAAGAATAATGTTGTATTTTACCTTGAAATATTTATAGGTAGACTTGCTCAAGGAGAAGCTTGGTTTTGATGAAGCATTCAACTACAAAGAGGAAATTGATCTTAAGTCAGCCCTTAAAAGGTAACTCAAATCCACTGCATCTATTGAATTTCAGGAACTCGAGTGATTTATTTAACTCTTTTACTTTGAAATTTCACTTGAACTTCAACTTGATAATCTATCAAATAGGGACTAACATTTTGGCAAGTGAAGATGTCATGTACTTGGGATAGCATTTGCTAATTTTTGAACAATGATACTATAGGTACTTCCCTAGTGGGATTGACATATATTTTGACAATGTGGGAGCAGAAATGTTAGAAGCAGCAATTGAAAACATGAATCCATTTGGTAGAGTGGCTGTTTGTGGCGTTATATCAGAGTATACGAATGAAGGAAAACGTGCAGCTTTAAACATGGTGGATGTTATATACAAGAGGATCACAATTCAAGGATTTCTTGCTGCACTTGAGCACCTCCAGAGTGGGAAGTTCCACGTTCTTGAAGACATTTCGCGTGGTGTGGAAAGCATACCATCAGCTTTTGCAGGACTTTCGAGGTGATAATGTTGGGAAAAAAATGGTTCAAGTAGCTGATGATTAAGTACCAGATCATTTTGCTGGAGTCATAATTGAGCAAAAGTAAGTAAATGAAGATTAGGGAGCTGGGGAAGGAAAAGGGCTTTAAATCTCAAGGATTTCTTGGCTGTAACTGATCTTGTAAACAATAATATCCCACTGGTGGAGTCACGAATCAATGATCTTTTCCATTGATTTGTTCTCAGATTAGTAATTTTACTCTCAAGGAACCTTCTGTTAAAACAATATATTAAATTAATATCGAAGTAGTTATGTACGAGAGTGAAAATTATTAAGAAGTAAATTTGAAACATCTTGAGAGTAGCTGATTATTAGGAACCGGTAAAAAGCTAAGATTTCATGCTTATTTAAGAATGGCTTGCATCTACAGTTGTCAAGCAAACTTGATTATTCAAGTAGTGGTTGTAAAAGATGTGGCCCGAACAAATACTAGTCCTAGACCTGTAGTTTAGTGATACTGCTATTTTATATACTTCTTCCGTCATAAAGATAGATTCACTTCTACTTCATATAAGTTAAGAAGGGTAATTAATGTAATCATTTTTGCTTATTACTTTCCTTATATACCTTTCTATTGATTCTTGTTTTAGTGTCTTATTTATTCCTTCTAGTACAATGGTTGACTAATAGAATAGCATGTTTACTGATTCAAATGCACATTGACTATGGATATAGTAGTAAATCCATATACCAACTATGCTTTAGAAAAGAAATAGACCTATAATTTGGGATAAATACAAAATGAAAGTGTTGATCTATTCTTATGAGACGGAGGAAGTATATATCAGTTTTGTAGCTATTCTTGCAAATGTGATCATAAGAGTTGACCAGACAAAACAGAAGAGGGGGCAGTTTGCAAATAATTAAGTGCTACGAATGGCCCAAAAAGTCTTTTTTTCTATTTTTGTAATCCGAAATATACTCCGACTCGAGCCCTTTCGACTTGAGCCGGCGCACCAAATCGGAGGGAAATGCCACGGTCACACACAACATTTTTCCTGGTGAGTCGCAGGGTACTCCAGGGAGCAATTTCGATCCCAGAACCTTTTGTGTCTCAAAGAATCGCTACTATCACTGGACCAATCCTGTGGGACAAAGAATATAAAGTTTTTGTTTTTTCACTTGTTTTGTTAGCCTAGTTGTCATAAACGGTTGACTTGAGTCTGATAGGCTGTACAAGTTCTGAAAATCCTATTTAGAATTCCCATTTTATCCATCATATTGTTATTACCTTTATGGTAAGTGATAAAGAAACATGGTAAGTACGTAGTTTGGTTACATCAAGATACAAGCAATTTTTAAATTTATAGTTTACGTGATTTCATTATTTTTCATCTACAATCATATGTTTCACAGTTATATACAAATTGACAACGGTACTCAGTTTAGTTGGTAAGACATTTACATGTAATTGAGTGATTAGAATTGAAGTTATAAAAGGATCATTAGGCAGAAACAACTATTGATGCCCCTTCGAAAACAGTAATAAAGAAACACAAGTATATAATATAGGACTTGGGCTACACCCATTAACTACAGCTGTTGGTGTTTTTTTTTTTTTTTAATCAAAATTCAATTTAACAGTTTCAAGCCCCGGGAGTTGAGGTCAATGTTATGGTCTTTCTCTACTTCCTTCCACCTAATTGCTCAGTTGCTTCCACAAGTTGACCTTAACCGAGTCTTTGCTTCAGCCAAGTTTATAAATGCCAACTTAAATGTGTATTATGGGCAAAGCCATAAGTATATTGGTCAAAACGAAGTGGAAAAGGAATCACAAGCCTTCCTTAATATTCATCAAACTTTAGTTTCGACTGAAGCTCTTGTCAACTGTTGAGGCAAGACTCCATCCAATATAGGCTTTAATTACCTCATTTGAGTCTTCTTGTCCTCCAAACTCCAGTTAAAATCCGTCAAATTTGCAATCCAGTCTTATTCTGTTAAATAGAGTTGCTTTGATTACATCCTGTCCTGCACTGAGCTTGGAAGCCCACTGAAGCGAATCAAGCCACCAATTAAGGCACAGCTTACTTAGCAGAACTAATCCCATTTGGTCAAATGTCAGACTACATCCCTGACCAACTGCTTGTGAATGTGCTTTTGAGGTTACCCTTTGATTCTCTGATTCGATCCAGGTGCGTATCAAAATCATGGCGTTCTTTAATTGATGGTCCTCACTTCATCAAAATGTATAACGAAAGCCACCTCGAAACAAACTATGATCATAATGATACTAAGATTGTTGCCTTGATTGAGGAGAAGTCTTCCCCAGTTACTGGCTCTAGAAGCAGAGACTTTTACTCCCTAGATATGAATCTACTTTTTAGCTCCTGTACTGCAAATGCAAAAAAACTCAACTTTCCTTCTGATTCTTTTAGAGATGATATACGTTTGGTAGGCTCTTGCAATGGCCTTCTTTGCTTGGTACATAGGAATTGGAACATTTTTATATGGAATCCATGGACTCAAAAGTATTGGGAGATACCCCCTCCACCGTATGGAAATGCAATTGGCCACAGCCAAGTTCAAATCCGTCTAGGTTTTGGCTATGACCGTGTCAGTGATGATTACAAAGTCCTGGCTTTCAAGAATGGTTGGAACTGTATGCAAATCCTAACACCAACAATTACTCTTTGCAGTAACAAAGTTTATGTTTATAGCTCAAATCTAAATTTATGGAAAGATATTGGGGATTTCCCATTTCAACAGGCAACCATGTTCCCTGACCCTATGGATGGTATTCTGGCTAATGGTGCATTGCACTGGGTTGGCGGTCAGAACTTTATCTTTGCTTTTGACCTTTGCAGTGACAAATTTCGTTCCATGCTCTGTCCTTTCTGGGAAGACCGTTTCCTCCCGCAATTGTGCATCTTGAATGGTGTCCTTTGTTTGCTCTCTGATTATGACTTTGGGAATCAGAGGTTTGCTGATATTTTTTTAATGGAGGATTATGGAGTTCACGAATCTTGTTGGTCTAAATTAGGCTCGATTAGAATCCCTTTTGGCAAATGGACAACACCCATAGCATTATCCAAGAACAAGAAGCAAGTGGTTTTGCAAATTAGCAAGGCTACGCTGGTGCTTTATGATCTGGAGACGAATTCGTTCAATGATGTAGCCATGAGTGGTGCAGCAAGTTCTTTAGATTCACCTATAAGTCTAACTTCATGTGTTTGTGTTGGAAGCCTTGCTAGTCTGTTCTGGCAAGCCTGATTAGGCTGATTTGTCATAAACTATTAAAGATAGAAAGCATGTGATCATTTTTGAAAGCCTTGTTGGTCCGTTCTAGGAAGTCTGGTTTGTCAAAAACTGTGGAAGACAGAAAGCATGTGATATTGTGATCATTTGATAATCTTGAGGTGGAATCAATCCTGTGTTGTAGGCATAAATGGTGCAGGAAAAAGAAAAGAAAGAAAAATGGTGGTGCAAGATATTTTATACTTCTGAATAATCTCAAGCAGGAACTTGTTCAGTGATGTATGCATAAACAGTGGTGCAATAAAAGTGTACAGTGTCTCATGTTTGAGTTACAAACTTTGATCGGCCTTATCATGATGCTTGTTTAATTTGTTAAATTTAATTTAGGCTTTAGTTTAAATCCACAAAGAAATCGTTGCGAAAGAAGTTGGAGTAGATGCTTAGAATGTTAATTTGTTCACAAAACAATTTATCATTCTGATTTTGCTTTCTTGTTTTGAAGTTTATTAGCACATAAAACATCTTCTGGTTCATGAATCAATTAGTTTAGGATGGCTTTTTGTTTCTTCACAAGTTAGAATTAGATGCATCAACTCTGTATATATTTCTCGAGCAAATGTACAAAAACATGCAGTCTTCTTTTTGCTGCGTAATTTCAATGTTATCTTGTGCTTAAACAACTTAAAATTGCTGTCAAGGGTTGACCTGAATTGAATCATGTAAATGCTTTGATTAACATAATCAAGATGAGGCCAATTTTGGGAGCGGGACCGAAAAAGCTAAGGATTCAATACTGGGCAAACATCTGCAATATTCCTTTAACTTCCGAGTCACTAGGAAAACAGGATTGAGGTAATCAAATCCAATTATTTCTTAAGTATGCCAAATCAAGATTCAAGCTCTTATGTTTATAGGATCCTGATTCAAGCTGTACTTGTTTAGACTTGATCAGATTGCTCGAAAGAGCCTTTTGGCCCCTGCAGAAATTCAAGTTCTTTTTGCGATGATCCTATTATTCTTATCTTCTGCAGGAAACAGCTGCAGTCTGTAGCCACCTTCCAATGGACTGAACTAAAAGATAAACACTCGATCGCCATGGATAGAAATAATCATACACAACAACTTTTGCTCCAACAAATATGAGTCATCAAACGCTAATTATTGGTTGATCCACAAAGTGGCAGTGGAAATGACAAAAAATACACAAGATTTTGATTAAAAGAAACTTTCTTCCCCACAGGAGTTGGAGAGAAGACATGATTTATACATGTATAAACAAGAAACTTTATATTTTAGAATAAGCAAAAGTACTCACTCCATTTCACTTTCATAGTTTTGTTTTCTTTTTTCATTTGTCCCAAAATTATAGTCTACATTCTAATTAAAGAACATAGCTACTTTTAACTTCTCTAAAATATCTTTATTTAATAGTATACTCGTTACCAGTAAATATAACTTACCTTATTTAATACATTCAACTTTTTCATCAATAATTGCTTTGATATATGTCTTGAATGGTACAATATTTTTAATATACCATCATTATTGTTGTTGTAATTAATGTAAAAGTATATTGATTAGTGATACTCCTAATATTAATATAAGGGTATTTTAAGAAAATATTAAATTAAATTTATTTTTTCAATAGAGTTAACTAATTTTTGTTAAACAATGTGAGAAAAAAAAACCAAAGCTGTCAAAACACACCAAGTGTAATCCATGAGCTTGGAGCAGCCGGTAAGCGGATTGTTAATGCCAACTAGAGGTGGGAAGTACGACTTTTGCATGTGGCGCCTTGAAAAATTTTGAACCGGACCTTCATTCTCGAGTAAGAATCGGACTCTGTGGATGCTCCTCAAGCCGAAGCCGAATCTAGATTAGTCTCACTAAGGGTAGGGACAATATGTTCAAAGCAAAAAAAAAAAAAACACATGCACACACACACCAAGTGTAAACTTCAAACAACTTTATAAAAGGCAACTCTCCCACTTGTGTATATAGTATACTATATGAGCAAACCCCAGCTGTATAGTGGTGTATAGTGGTCAAAGAAGAGAGAAAGAACAATTCTTCCTCAATCTTCAATTCTTCATCAAACGCCGGCTGGGCTACTTTCAATTGAAGCTCCTGTCAACTGTTAAGGCAAGCCTAGACCCAATATAGTCTTGCTTTTAGTTACATGATTTCAATCTTCTTGCAACCAATACTCCTCAATATTATATACTCCAGTTGGGATCACCAAATTCGCGATATATCCAGTCTTATTCCGTTCAGAGGCTAAACTGATTTGCTTTGATAACATCCTGTCATGCTCTGAGGTAGGAAGCTCACCGACGCGAATTAAGCCACCAATTGACTGACAACTTACTTTGTAGCAATCACTATCATTTGGTAAAATGTCAGACCATATCCCTGACCATGTGCTTGTCAACGTGCTTTTGAGGTTACCATTTGATTCTCTAATTCGCTCCCGGTGCGTATCAAAATCATGGCGTTCTTTAATTGATGACCCTCACTTCATCAAAATGCATTATTTGAATAAAAACCACCTTCAAACAAACTATCATCATGATGATACTAAGATTATTGCCTTGGTTGAACATGGCGCTTCGGTTTTTACTCGCCCTGAAAGTAGAAAATTTTACACTTCAGATTCAGATCTTTCTTGTAGCTCCATTCTGCATGCTAAGCAACTCAACTGCCCTATAGAGCTCTCTGAATATCATGTTCGTTTAGCAGGCTCTTGCAATGGCCTTCTTTGTTTGCTAACTTCAGAGTCGGACATTTTCTTATGGAATCCAATCCATGGACTCAAAAGCACCGTAAATTACCCTCTCCTCCTTATGAAAATTTGATTGGTTGTAGAGTCAATTTTCGTCTGGGATTGGGTTTGACCCTGTTAATGATGCCTACAAAGTGGTTGCTTTCATGAAATGTTGGAGTATTTTCGACCAAGATTGGTCAACTCCGACGAGTCATGAGGTTTATGTTTATAGCTCAAAGCTTAATTCATGGAAAATAATAGGTGATTTTCCATTTGAGAATCCTTTTCGGGAACCAATGGATGGACTTCTTGTTAATGGTGCATTACACTGGTTTTACTGTGTAGGCTACATTCTTGCCTTTGATCTTAGCAGCGAAGAATTTCGCATGATGCCTTGCCCTTACTTGGAAGGTCGTCGGGATTATGATTTGTGGGTCCTGAATGGTTGCATTTGCTTGGTTTCCTACTTCTTTGCCCATGATCATCGGAGATGTGCTTATATTTCACTGATGGAGGATTACAGAATTGATGAATCACGTCGGAATCTATTAACTTTCCTAAAATTCCCTTTTGATGAGCAGATATTATGGCACCACATAAAGCCAGTAACATGTTCAAGGAACAAAAAGCAATTACTTTTGGAGGTTAATAGCAAGAAGCTTGTGCTTTATGACAGTGAAAAAAATTCCTTCGTTGATATTGCAGACAAGAGTGGTTTAGATTTACATGTGAACCATTATGAATTCACAAACCTAACTACATGTGTTTGTCTAGAAAGCCTTGTTAGGCCTTTTTAATGATTTTGATTTCTCATATCAAATTTCATATAGCTGGTCCTCTAATCACTTGTTGATTACCCAACTTCATAACAGAATTTCATGACATTCTGAATTACTCAATTTGTTTGCTTGTTACAAACATTTTGTTCATTTCCTTTTTGAGCAAAAGTTTCCTCGTCACATGTTATTGCAAGAACACTTTGTTTGTTATATATATATATATATATATATATATATATATATATATATATATATATAATGAAAGAGTTAGGTTTTGCAGAACTTATAAAATTTCCTTGAGCTACCATATGTTTTTCTTTTTGGGCATGCAGTACATTGTGAAGCTTCAAAAAGTTCATTATAATTGAAATTCAAGATTGTTTTATGATTAGAAGAAACTTTTTCTTTCTCCCAGTACAACTTGTTTGGATTTTCATCACTTTCTTTCCCCTTACTACCAAGTTACACAAGTTTTTACAAATAACTGGTTCAATTCACACAGAGACACAAAATTGCTCTCTTAGATTTTTCTCTACAAGAAAAATGGCAACTACTAGATGAAAAAGAGGATAGCCTGTGACAGGTGTCAAGCCTGTGCAATAATTACCTACTCAACAAAAATATAAATTTTGTATATAGCGGTGAGTATGATCGAATCCACAGGGATTTGGGATAATTTATTTCTTTTAGATTCTAGAGTATGGGGGATTTTTATAGAAATATAAAATAACTAATTAATTAAATACAAGCAACTTAAGAAAATAAACAAAAATTAATCAATAATAGATACGACTCTAGCCAAAGGTGCAACTTTTCAGACACGGTCCATTCAACTGATCATTGATGCAAAGATAATTCAATTACTCATTAATAGATTGATTATAGTTGCCATACACACGATAAATAACCAACTTTTCCGTACTTTTTCGATAGCTAAGATATGACCGTTAACTATTTCCCTAACTAAGAAATAACCCTAGGTACGACCATATGATTCAATTCCTCAATTGCATTAAGAATTAGAAAAGCCCAACCCTAATCAATAAACTGCTACCAGGGTTTGTTTAAATTAGATCATACATTTTCCTAACATGGGACCAAGCTAGAAGCCACTGGTATTAACCAATAAAACAATTACGGATTTAACCGATTAATTTGACAGTAGATTATTAGGCTAATTCAAATATCGGGCTCTTGGCATTCAAATAACAAAACAATCATAAAAAATTAAATCAGAAAATGCACAAATACCAATGAATAAAAGAAATAAATAAAATAATTCAATCTCACAGATGTTTGAAATCGAGTTTTCAAGTTGACCTTCGACTAGAAAAGAAACTTAGTTGCGCATAGCCAATTGAAACAATTCACACCATTTTTCCAAAACCAGCCACATGACTCTTTGATAAGAGAAAAACTAGAGAAAACAAAAGATTGGCCAAAAGGCCAAGCGGCCGTCCTCCCCTCTGTTGCGGTCGAACCCTCCAAAAATAAGAAGGTATCTAATGACTACTAATTAATAACCAATTCGGCTTCTCACTTGGACAACCAAAACTAGAATTCTAATTGAAAAAAGGTAACTTCAAGAATAGTGCCAATTGTTTTCTAAATAAAATATCTAAGAAAAATGGTAATTTCCTAATCTTCCGCCAATAATCCACGTAGACTCCATCTTGAATTGGGAAACTCTTAAAAAATCACTTCTTTCATCATTTTTTTCTCATTTGCCTACAATTAGCACCAAATACCAAATATAAGTAGAATTTATCAATTAATACAATATTTGGTAAAATAAAAGAGAAAAATAATCACAAAATTAATGACAAAAATGCAACCTATCAATTTTTCCCACACCTAAATGATGATTGTCTTCAAGCATGAGAACAACAAATCAAGCAATCAAACTCAAACAATGGCTATTGTTCAAATCTTCTATTGCCAAGATACAATTAAAATACGTGTCAAGTATTATTGGCTAATCTTTAAGAAATATCTCTCCAGTTAGTTTTCAAGATAAAAAACTCTTCCAATTTATGACTAACTAATCTAAGAATATAAAATATTCAACCAGCATCCATCAGCAAACGGTTCAACTATTAAACAAAATCTCAATATTAAAATTTATGGATCAGCGGGTTAACAATTCATTCACACACTTTCACATTTTTCACTATTAGCACATTTTTTTTTGCTTTTCTAAAATATCCCACACTTGAGTTTTTTTTTCTCAAGGGGAATACTTAGTTAGGGATGGCAACGGGGCGGGGTTGGGGCGGGGGACACCTCCCCCATCCCCCGCCCGCTGCCTACAAACTCCCCCCGCCCAACCCCATCCCCCGTCCCCTGCTCCCCCCGCCCCGCCCGGCCCCGCTTCCCCTGCGGGGCTAATAAAAATTTGTTATATAATTTTATTATGATTAAATTTTAGCAAATAATCAAGTACTAAAATATTAACACGTCATCAAATTATTATTCATTATAATTTTACAATTGAAACTTATAAAAACAATCAAACAAAAAATATTTGAATACAATCCAACATGATGAAATAAATATAACTAAAGTAGTCAAGTTTTCACTTTTGGCACAAATACAATCACTAATTCATTTTTGTGCTTGTGCTTTTTTTAAGAAAAAAATATTATTGTATTAAGTGTAATTAGGGATTTAGTATAAATATATTAGTAAATTTAGTATAAAAAATTAATAATTTGTATTAGTACACATATATAATTATTAGTATAATTAATAATATCAATTATATTATATATACTAATAGACATTATATAATACATATAACTAATAATATCATTATCATAAGTTTGTAACTAATTAAATTATATATTATATATAATTATATATATTTATTTTTTTAAAGCGGGTGGCGGGGCGGGGGATAGGGCGGGGGTACACTCCCCTGCCCCCCGCCCCGTTTCTAAGCGGGGGGCCCCTCCCCAACCCCCTCCCCATTAATCCCCCGCGGGACGGGTGCCCGCGGTCACCCGCTCCCATTGCCATCCCTATACTTAGTCTTTAGCCATTTAAGCATTTTGTCGCAAATTTCGACATTTGTCAAATGAAGGAGCCCGGTTACTTAGTTTTTATCGCTAAAGGACCACATACTCATAGTTATCGTCACTTTTTGACGCGAAAATCAACACTTTTGGTGAAGACCTCCGGTTATTAGGCAACGATACTAGCGGAGTATAGCCAAATACTGTTTATAAATAAGCACCAAATTAAAATTTAAAATCATACAAATCCGCTTTATTTCTTAAACATGGAGAACTAAGATTAATAACTGAACCAATTTGCATAAAAAATGCTAGACAAATATTTACAATACTTAGAAAAGTTAACCAAAAAATGCAAAAGTCACAAAATCTCAAATATTCACCAAAGAGATACCCTTAGATTTAACCATGTCATACTTAACACCTTAGAGTATAAAATCTTAGCGGTAGAAAAATTTGAGACATCTAATCATCGTTTATCAGGAACAACCATAAATATGCACAAAGATAAGCTAAAATTGAAAAAAATTTGAAAAAAATCGAATAAAAAATTCCAACAAAAATGCCTACATTGCACTATTCTAATATACTACTCCCCCCATACCTAAATCTTACATTGTCCCCAATGTAAGATAGAGAATAAAAGAAAAGTAATGGGGATAACGAAACTTCCCTGATAACTGAGGGGGCAGTGGACAGTTACGGGCAAGGAGCAAATGATTATGGAGCTCGAGATATGTTGATGGTTGATGGCAGTGGAGAAGGATGGAAGAAAGAAAGAAAGAAGAAAAAGAAAGAAAAAGAAAGGAAGAAAAGGAAAAGGAAAAGGAAGAGAAAAAAAGAATTTTTTTTTTTACCTTTTCCTAGGACACGACGTGGGCACGTCATGAAGGTGGAAATCCTTCTGATAAAGAACTTAGAAATTGCACATTACCACGTGCCCTATTGGCCCGGGCGTGCCATGTCAGTCAATCCGCTCCAGGATCGAAAAAAGAGCTCTCCAGGTGTCTTGACGAGAGCGAGCCATGAATGTGGAATCTCTTCTGATGAAGAACTTGGGAATTGCACATTACCATGCGCCCTATTGACGCAGGCGCGTCATGTCAGGAGGACATCTACTAATCATCAAAAATAGAAAATTAAATCAAAAATTTGTGAAAGCTCTAAGAGAAACATATTAAAACTATCAAATAAAATTAAACAAACAACGAAAATAATTTGGGTTGCCTTCCAATAAGCGTCTTTCTTTAATGTTTTTGGCTAGACATTGTCATGTTTGTTCAAGAAGGATAAAATCTTGTGCCTCGTTTCAATGCTTCATCCTCTATATAATCCTGATAGCCCTCGTAAATAGAGTAATCCCTAAGCACACGAGCTACGGTCTTCCATGGACTAGTAGATGGTGTCAAACAAATCAACAATAATCTTAATTCTTCACTCACTCCTCCATCACGCGCACTTAGTAGTTTAAGATATTTTGCCATCACAACTCTTGACTTATTTCTATCATGAAACTCAAAATCTTCTGGTATAATAAAATCAATCTTGCTAACAGGAATTAAAGAATAAGAGTCAGGAAAATGTTGATTAAGAAATGGAGGAGATGTCACCGCATTTGAAAATTGTTCACCGGATTCATTCACTTGAGTGATTTGATGTTGGGGTTTCATTTCTTGCATTTCAATTTCCTTTTCAACTGCATCTTTAAATCTTTCTTCTTGAGACTTTTGTAATTCCATGTCACTTGTTAGAATAATTGCATCCTCATCTTTCTTAAGGTCGATGATGGCCTGTGAGGGCAATTCTTCGTAAATTGGAGAAATCAATTTGCTCAGTATAGATTCATGTCCTCCATCTTCCATCTCTTTTTGAATTTGATCCTGACTCTTATCCTTCAGAATTGTAGGCCCTTTAATTTTTTTTCCACTTCTGAGGGTCATGGTACTCATGTTCTTTGGATTAACTTCAGGCTGAGATGGAAGTCTTCCTTTCTCTTGAGACTCC